CCCCCCCCCCCCCCCCAACAAGCCCTCCGGCCTCTAGCACTACCTGCTCTCTGAGTTCCATCATCTGGGCCTCCAGCCTTTCCAGTCGCTCCTCCAGGGGGCGCCACTGCTCCTGTGGGGCCCCAGCATGGGATGAGGAGCGGGCTGGTGCCTGCTGCTGGTAGTCCTGGATGTCAGCAAGCCCAGGGGGCTCTGGGAGGATGACCCCACCTGAAGAGCACAAGAATCCAAGGTGGGCCTGTGGGTGAAAGGTTTCCTAGCAAGGTTTCCTGGGTCCTGTCTTACAAACCATGCAGGGAAGGAGGGGTCGCCCCGTGGCCCACCCCTGTCCATCTGCCCACCTACCTTCCAGAGAAGGAGATATGGTCTCTGAGGGTGCTGGCATGGAAGCGTAGAAGGAGAAGGGAGAAGGTGAACAAAAGTGACCCAGACCAGCTTTCCCAAGTAGCAAGAACCTCGGTCAGGTATCAGCCCCAGGGCCCCTGACCTGCTGGGGATACGACGGGGAGTGTCTAGACTGGGGCCTCCCTGTAGCCTCCCTGATGCTGCAGGGGTCCCCAGCCACGGGGAGCGTGTCAGGGTCATCCATCTTGACATGGGTCAGGGTCTTGGCCAGGGTTAGCCCTGGGAGCTGACAAGTCAGGCTGGGAGGGCCCAGAAGCCAGTGCAGGCTGCAGGGCAGGAGAGGGAGACGGACATGTGAAAGGTGGAGCTGCTTTATGGGGCCCGGGGTCTGGTGTGAGCAGCCCTGGCCCCCCAACTGCCTGTCCTCACCCGTCAGCAAGGGCACTGCTTCCAGAGAATGTGCACAGGGAGGGGCAACTGCTCCCTCTGCTCCACCCCCACCCCGCGCCCAGCCTTGCCACTATTTCCAGGCCTGTGGTAGAGGGGCCTGGGGACCCCCACACTGGGTACCCAACAGAGGTTCTTGCTACTCGGGAAAGCTGGTCTGGGTCACTTTGGTCCACCCAGGGCTGCCTTCTCCTCCTTCCACGCTTTCAGGCCAGCACCCTCACAGACCATTTCTCCTTCCCTGGCAGGTGAGTGGGCAGGTAGACAGGGGTGGGGCACAGGGTGACCCTCCTCCCCTGCATGGTTTGGAAGACAGGACCCCACACTGGGCGGAGGGGGCTGCATTTCTTGAAGGGTTTGGGGAAGGAGTTGGCAGGGCCCCCACTAGCTCCCAAGGCACCAGGCTGAATAAAGACATCCTGTCCCTGGTTTTTTGATGACACTGCATCAGAGAAGGGGGTTTCTCTGAGTTCAGGCCTGAGGTTGGACAGCCATTTCCACCTCACTTTAATCCCTCCCCTTCAGTCAGGAAAGTAAAAACCGTGGGGTGGGGATAGGCTGACTCCACTGACATCCCACAGACCAGATCGCTCTTCCGGGTGGGGGGTGGGCAGTGGAGGGGCTGGAGGAGGAAGAGGAGGACGGAGAGAGGAGGGTCTTTCCCTCAGAGGCAGCTCATTAATGAGGCCGGGCCTGGGTTTCTCGAAGACACTACTCCTGTGAGGTAAGGGACTGTGTCACCCACTCCCTTGTCCCCACACCCCCAAGCGGGGGTTGGAGAGTCTAATCTGAAACCCAAGTTGTCTTCTTTCTTCCAAACCTGCTTTGGCCTGCGTTCCTTGGCTTGGAAAATGCTATCCCCGCCTACTAAGAGATCTGGGGCTCAGATTCCCCGTTTTGTACCCCCCAACCCACCAGCCTCTGGTCTCGCCCAGGTGTCCCCAACCCACTCCTCCCTCTTCTCCTCTCCCCTCTTTCCACTCAGGAGGCTGAAGCCAAAGCCCACCTCCTGCCTCCACCTGCTCCTCCTCTCTGGCACCCACCTCTCTAAGTCACACATCTGAAGGTCCCCAGCAGCAAGTCCAAAGGTGACCTTTTGCAAATGCCCCCGTGCCCTGCTCTTCCCCACCTCCGGGGTCTAACGCCCCAACAAACGCCAGCACCCAAACCTCTTGTGCACATTCCCATCCCCCTCCCTTGCCGGGTATCCTGTCACCTGGAACTGTGCTCCCTTGGTATGGCTCCAGTATCTAGCGTTCTTCTTGGCGCCCTGAAGGGCAGTTGCAGATGATCAGTACCGTCAACCGCCCCCCTTCCCGTCCCGGCTTGACACCCCCACCCCATGACCCCTCCTCCAGACCTATTTAAGCAGTCACACTAAGGGAGGCAGGGAGAGGCTGGGGGGTCTCCGGCAGGGAAGACAGGACCAGTCCCTTGCCTGGAGAGACCAGCAGAAAGAGCTCCTGATTGTTTCACGGAGCCTGATTGCTCCCCATGGAATTGTCCTCGGCTCCCCTCTCCCCAGCCGGCTGCCAAGTGCTTGCACTGACCCCTCTTTTCCTGCCTGCCCTCCTAGGAGAAGGCCAGACACAGCCTCAAAGTCGGCTCCCATAGCGGGCCTCCTTTTTTCCCCCTTTCTCAAGACAAATAATTAACTTCAGACTCCCAGATTCCAGGGCAGCCTCTCCCCCACCGCTGCCTGCAGGAATTCCTCTCCAGCCATTGCAGGGAGCCCCCTCTCTCTCCTCTGGGCCCGGGGCCTCAACCTCAGGGCCGCGCCCCCTTGCTGGCTCCTCCACCGACGGGGAGGACCGAGGCCGCCCGAGAGGCGCCCGCACCCCGAGGCTGGGGGTCGGGAGAGGCAGCCTGGCGCCAGCTCCTTCCCTCAGGCTGGGCTGAGTAAGAAATGGGGTCCTTCCCGGCCGCCCCCAGGCCCTCAGCGCCCCGACTTACCTCCGTCCGTCGCGGAGGCCACGGCCACGCTCGTGAGCTGGAGGACGAGGGGCAGCAGAGCGGCCGGGGGCCCCGCCATGCTCGCTCCGCCTCGCTGTCTGTGGTCGCGGCTCAACAGGCGCTGGGGGAGGCGGGGTGGGGACACACCAGGCCGCCTCCCACCCAGTCTTTGTTCAGGGAGGGCTTCTGGAGTCTGTCATCCCGCCCGGGGTGGCGCCTGCCTTCCTGATGGGCACTTCGCGCCCTGGACCCCAGCTCCATCCTGACCCCAGCCCTGTCTCAGAGGTAAGGCGGCGGGAGAGCAGCCCCAGCCCTGCGGGAAGCTGGGACCGTCTCCTGCACGTGATCCCTGGAGAAGACCGGACAATAAACACGGATTTGTCACTCTGGGGCCCTGGGACAGCTGGTTTTCCTGCCCCCTTAGGGTTATTCCATTTGCCCTTGGGTTCCCAGTTCAGCTTTTTTCTTGCTTGCAGGAGAAGAGGATTGGGCTGGGTTCAAAACCCTATTTAGCCAAATCGGTGTGCCCTTAGACCCCTAACCGTACCTCACTTTCCCTGTTTGTAAACTGAGGATTATACTATCTACTTTATAGACTGGCAGTGAGAATATAAAACTAATTTAGGGTAGTGGTTGGCACACGCTAAGTGCTCAGTAAATAACAAATAACAGCCATAGGTGCTGCTCCAGACCTCTGGAATCAAGGGCTCCCGCTTTCGCCCTCCTTTGTCCACCTATACATTTCCTTCCTGGGCTCTACTCCCCACCCCTAGCCACCTCCAGTAAGCCCAGGCTTGGCCCCAAATGCCAAGCCCTCCCTTTGCTGGCTGGTCCCTGCCCATTTTCCAGTTCCTAAAGTCAGGCCTAGGGGCGGGGGTGAGCCTGGACTGGGGGCAGGGCTGGGCCCTGGGCTCAGCAGGCAGAGGGGGCCAAAGGGAGGAAGTGAAGAAAGCTGGCCACAAACTCCTCAGTGCAGCTGGGAAGCAGGGGGAGGTGGGGATGGGCCCCTAGCTCACAGGCAAAGGGACACTGAGGGTGGAGCCATGAATCCTGCCAAAGCAGTCTCCGTCCCTGCTGTAAAGGCCAGCAAGTCAGAAGCCACCCTTCCCCCAGCCCAGGCCGGGACTAAAGGTCCCGCCAGCCCACTCCCCATGCGCCTTAAGAGAGGACAGCATCTCTCCCCAGGAATGTGGACCCCTAAAGAGGCCTAAGACATTGGCAGAAGGGGGAGGGGCGGCCGTGAGCCAATGCTGAGACCTGGCCTCAGGGGGCCTGGAGCTAGGCTCACAGGAGCAGAGGAAAGCTAGGGCCAGCAGGCCAGAAAAGAAACAAGGAAGTAGCAGCTCTGGTCCCATCAAGGTTAAAGAAAGCGGTGCCTGTTATAAGGCAGGTCCCCTGGGAGACTGGGTGGAGCAGAGGCTAAGCGCAGACTGTGGTGAGAGCTGCTAGACCAAATGCTGGGTCTGATGGGACTTTCTACCGGTGTCTCCAGACAAGTCATTTAACTTTCAGTGGTGAATTTCTCTTAGCTGTGACCTGTAGCTCTAACAACCCCCCCCCCCCCAATTGAGTGTTTTGTGAAGGTTATGTAAATTAATGGCTGGAAAGAGGGCTCGGTACATTCTTTATCTGCAACAGAAGGTAAAGAAGCTTCCGGAAAACCCAATCCATGACATAAAAGCCCAGGGCTCCGAGGAAAGGGCATCCGGAGAGTCATCTGGGTTCCACCACGAGTGATTACTGTGAGCCTCTTTTGTGCCGGGCATCAAGCCAGATACAGGGATGTGGCAGTAAACAAAACATGGTCCTTGGTGGAATGTCCCATGCAGGTCAAGAGAAGGGGAAATGGGGTTCCTGGCAGAGGAAGAGTGTGAGCACAGGATCATAGGTGTCGGGCTTGGAATACAGGACTCCCGTTTTCTGCTAGACGCAGCTGTCCCGACCCAAAACCCAGCCCTTCCCTTAGAAGAGGACATTCTGGCCAGAGAAAGAAGGAAAGACTCGGGCTTGAGCCTTTACTTGGCAAGATGGCCCTACAGACAGAGTGGTGTGTGGGAGCCGGGGGGACGTGCGGGCACAGGAGCACATGTTGCTACGTAGGGCAGCTGAAGTTCTGAGGTCAACTCCTGCTCCACACTCGCTGTCTGTGCTGGTGGTTCTCCATTTCTCCCTCCTCCCATTCATTCTCCTCCCTCTCTGCCCCTACAGACTCCCCCTGGCCGCCTCTGGGGTCAGCCAATGAGAGGCACAGGCGAGGCCTGGAAGGCAGGAGAGGAGAGTGGCTCGGGGTATTTCTTCCCTCCTTCTGCTCACCTGGCTCCCGTGATGACGCTATTCCTTCCCCTTGTCCTCTCAGCCCAGGAGTGGTGATGGCTTCCCACCCTTGCTAGTCCCTGGTCTTCAACATCCCTTGTTGATTCTCTTACCGCCGAGTCTGCAGGTCGATGTGTGTGTGCGCCTGACGTATGCACGGTGCCCGGCCCACAGAAGACCCCAACATAAGTTGCCTCCCGCTCCTTACCTGCTTCAGGTTGCACTGCCAATAGCAGCAGGTTGGTTTTCTCTCTGGATTTGCTGGCTGGGAGCAAAAGGCAGTTGTGAGGAGGGAGAGACAGAAAGGATTAGTAAATGATTAATTTCTTGTACTTCACTTGATATCTTTCAAACCATACTGGTTGTGACAAACGAAATGAGATACTACTAAGGTATAAAAACAAAGCGTATCATTTACATCTGCCCCAGGCCCTTCCCTTGCCCATGTACTGCCACCCCCAGGTGACCAAGGGTGACACGGGTATGCTCTTCCACACCCTTCACCTGGCTCACACGACCATATGCAAGCATGTGTAGACCATGCGATTTCCAGGCTGTGCAGGATCCCAGCCCCCCTCCCCCCACCCCCACAACCCTTGTCAACTTGCCCCTGAGTCCGCAATCTCAGCAGCTCCTCTCTCAGCCTCCCGATTCCCCCAGGACCCTCCCTCCCCACTCA